GGTCCATTTGACCTCATGTTCCATTCATTCAGTATCTGGGTCCATTTGACCTCATGTTCCATTCATTCAGTATCTGGGTCCATTTGACCTCATGTCCCATTCATTCAGTATATCTGGACCTTCTTTGACCTCATGTTCCATTCATTTAAAAAAATGGACCCTCTTTTGACCTCAAGTCGTTTACTCATTTTCCACCCCGTTGAGTATATAACAGTATTTTTTTTACATTTGATTTTAATTTACCTGGTTGTGTAGGTTTTGGTGTTGTAGGTGGTGGTGGTACAGTTGGTGGTGCGTCAGTTACTTGTGGATCTGCTGCAAGCTCCTTTGACAGCTTTCTCTCTTTGGATTTAAAAAAAAAAAAATGTTGACCGTGAATTTCTGCAATTTTTTACGGTTCTTAATTTTTAAGAGACATATAAATCCTTAAATTAAAGCGATCACTGCACAGCAACTAGGCATGTTCGCACTGTTGTAAGTTTCTTTATTGTTCTAAAATCTATTAAATTTTAGCTGTCGTATCACTGCTTGGGACAATCATAACTAGGCTCCAACTAGCTATGTGAAAGCCCAAAGATTACATTGGAATTTAGAGTATTGATTTTCGAGGATCGAGGAAAATCGGAGAACACGGAGAAAATTCCTTGAAGCACCCAGACAAGAGAAGCAATTCTACACGGATACGACACCAATTGGTGGGAGGCGACGCATTGGAAGCGCACGCCACGCCTAATCTATCAGCGTTTGCCCATATCACAATATAAAAAGAAGTCAGACTTACCAGCTTTTCCCCCTTGGACGGAGAGGACAAGAAGAATCACAATAGTCAGCTTGAACATCATGATGTGTTATTACGCCAAGGTTGTATATGAACATACCCGTTCACCGATAGACATGGCTTTATATACCTTAACGTTTAATCAACTCTGAAACAAGGTTTGCACAGATGCATCTATCTTCATAAAACACTGATTAGCTTGGTCGTAATTTTGTTGCAATTTCATGTCATGTGCCATTCAGGCTCTTGACAATTTTACAATTCTTTCAATATTCATGGGTCTTTTGCGTGCGCAAACGTTAGACAAACAATAGATACTGTGGGGAATGGCCCCTGGCCTGGAATGGTAAACCATTAGACGCCTAAGCTAATATATTAAGGTCCATTTCACAAAAAAGTGGTCTGAGATGGATCAATGATTCGGAAATGCCATAGCTGCAAAATTTATAATTTATAATAAACAACAACAACAACAACAA